GCGCCATTATGCAACAGAAAATTCACAAACTCCGTTAAGCCATTCTTGCAGGCTATGTCGAGACATGTTTCTTTCAAATGTGTGGGATTAATGTAGATACTTTGAAGAGGTGGATGCTTCTTCAAATTATCCTTGACAGCATTTTTGAAAGAGGAGAAATCTTCAAATTGTTCGGCGTTTAACTCAAGCTTGTAAAAATCATCTTGCATGCTGATTGGAGAATAGATATTCGACTGAGGAATTTTTTCCTCTGTTGTGGATAATCCTCGAAATGGTGAAGATATTCTGTGAGTTGACGAACCTTCGTTTCTGAAGTCTTTTCTGTTGTCTGGAAAAAAATTGAACTTATAATATTGAAACTTTTGTGTGTGTGACAAAGTGTGAATTTTAAAAATAAATATTAATATAGGAATATTAAATATTAAAGATGTGTAACGTAGATGTTAAATTATTTGGAGAACCGCGAATGCAAATTAGAAATATTAAAAATTAAATTAATTATTATAGTTAATAATTTTAAATTAAATTTATAGTGTTGAAAGAAGGAAAACTGATTTTTTACGACTTAATCAATCATTTACAATCCAGAAAAAGTTATTTTAGAATGAATTAAGGGTTCAGTTATCAGAAGGCTTGCCGAAATATTCGCGGACAACTTACACGTAAGCAAGTATATATAAGATATTATGTGTTTAAATTTATCTTTGCCTTAGTATAATATATATGATATTCATGCTTATATAATACAATTTGTTAAGTTAATAAAGTCCAATGTTTGAAAAGATTAAAAAAAATTATTGGTTAATCAGAAATTACTTATAGACGAAGAAAGAAAGAAACTAACTTAATTAACTTAAAGAAACAGCTTACCTACCTTTTATCTCTTCGTAGTTGCGGTAAGCGGCCAAGAATTCCAGTATAGTATAAAGTTTACTGGGTATAATTTATAACATTAATATTTCTATCGGCGCAAAATCACTGTCGAAAAATTTACGTTATATATTTTTATCCATTTTTTAAATTAATATATGTATAGAGAGTAGAAAAAATTTTCACATATTGGTAATCCAATGCAATACATTTTGTCATGTGTGAGACTGCGCGAATGACGACTGCGTGACTGATGACTGCTGCTGTCGAATGTATGATAAGGTATGATAATTCAAACTGGAAGGGGGAAAGATAAGAATAACTTGTTTATAGCACATATATGTCACTGTCTAATCTGCTGATTAGGATAATATCCTGGTAACACAATATAGTCCAAAATTGCGACAGAAGTGCATAATATCTGAGATTGAACGAGTACTTACTGTACTCTTGCAGCGCAGTCTGCTGTAAGAAACTAAATAGTATAAAATTTCACAGTAGCTTCTTACAGCAGACTGCTGCATTAGTACAGTAAGTACTCGTTTAATCACAGATATTATGCACTTCTATCGCAATTTTGGTCTGTTTTCTTGCGCACTTCTTCGGGATGTATCTGAGCTATCAGATTGTGTTACCAGGGAGGTATACATATTGACCAATATGACATATGTGATTAGACATCTCACTTTCAGCAGAAAAGTTTTTTTTTTTTTACAAAAAAAGTCACGTTGAAAAATACTTTATAAATTATGCCAAATTGTGATGATAAATCTTTTTTCTTTGCAATGAGCAAAGTATGAGCAACCGAAAAAACTCAACTTTGTTTGCATTTTAAAAGCAATGTATTGGATAACAAGAAATAATTTCTATTTAAGTTACCAAGAATTCTATGAATTTCTTAAGGCTTTACCTTTCTTATCAAAACAGATAGATTTAAATATTAAATAGGAGTAATTGTATTGTTCTTTATAAATAAATTTAGTGGCATTTTTATGTTTTATCATTACAAATTTGATTAAAAGCAATATTTTTTTTTTTTAATAAAGCAACTTGTAATTATTGCCAAAAGATTTAATTACATTATAAATTACAAAACATAAATAATAAAACAATTATCTTAAAAATGTATTTTTAATATATTAATTATATACCTACATGTATATTTTATATACTTTTTTATTTATCACACGTGCACATATAATATTTATAGAGAAAAGAAAACTACTTCGCTCAAGAGTTTGCTGACAATGAGTTTCATAGCATATTTACACGCTATTTTGCTATGTTATATCAATTATAAAAGAAAGTATAAGTAGTTAACACAATATTATTTTAATTTGATTTATAAAATTAAAATCTATACATATGTAAACTTAAAAATATGTTATCATATGAGTTCAAAAAGTTTCAAATAGAATAAATTGTAATACTTTTTATTAGTTCTTTTTTACAAATCCCATCGTATTATCGATAATATTATTTTCAACTGTAAACTTTATA